CCCAAGGTCTCGAGATGAATCTCATGGGTCCTGATATGATGCATGAAAAGACAAATCTTATTTCTGCCAGAGAAAAGTACATTTTGACAACCGTATAAGGTCGTTTCACCCCTTACAGATCCTTCAAATATTCAGGAGGAATTCACTCTTTTGTTGATGCACGTACAGCTCGTACAAATATGCAACTTGTAATGAGAGGATTCATGTAACAGTGGAGTCACAGAATAAGAAGGTTTGGGAATTACTGATGTAAAATACTAACTAATGAAGAAAAGTATTTGAATTGAAGTTGTAGTGTTCTACATTGTAAACCTGACCCGGTGAAGAGTGACAGTGTCTCCTCTCCTGCAGGTGGTGTGCTGTCTGAGGAGCTCCAGCAGCAGAGATGCTCCTCAGACTGGGGCGGCTCACTCCAGGATACTTCAGACTCCTGGAGGTGGGTCACAGCCACACGCTTTACTCTGTCTCTATATTTAGGAAGAGGAGTGAATGAATATTTTACAGAGAGCTGATGCAGCTTGACTCTGGAGGTTACTTTATATAACCTGTTTACACTCAACCTCACAGCTCGTCATTGTCTTGGACTGAAACGACCCTTTCAGGGTGCCAACGTACTCTATAGTTTCTATTTTTTTATATTCTGTGCATAATGGCTTTAAAAGCTTCCTGAAAGATTTCAAACATTATGATGTTATATATTTTTGTACTGAACTAAGTGAAAACAGCAGCACTCTTAACACATTTATCTGAACCCAACTAGATTAGATTCAAGCAAAATTGTAGTTATTTAACTTACTATTCAGCTGACTGTCTCATACGTTTACAAAAATATACAGTGCGAGAAAAAGCCAGTTTCAGGCCAGCAGGAGTTATTTAGAAGTACAAATGTGCAGTAACATAACAAGATTTTCAAGTATGTATATTTATATCAGTGTGTTCAGCTTTGTTCAGCTCCTTGTTTTTAGCTGTATGTCTATGTCTGTGTATAGATTCAAATGACTGGTATGTGTTGTTCTTGGCAAACAAAGCTGATTCTCAGTCTACAGCCATTTTAGTGTCTCTGTGTTGCTGTGCCCACATGCTAGAAAGCCCCTGCACTGGACCATTGATATACGGAATAACTGAGAATACACCCTCAGTGAAAACTCACCAAAATGTATATCACTCATGACAAAGTCGTGGGATTTTGACACGGTGGAAGCCTCTGGACTGGACTTCTTTCTAGCTTATTAACAACTTTGGAACTGAATACAGCATGCTCCAGCAATGTGGATGTAATTACTGTATTTCTTCCTGCTGGAGATTGTTTTTTTTAACTTATAAAGTTGTGACTCCTGCAGTATTACATTTAATTGTTTTAAGCTAGTTCAAAAGCTATTAACGAAGTGGTTTGGAACTTGAAGTTGGTTTAACGGTGAACTAGATGCTAAGTCACCAATGTCATTATACTTAATCCTCAGAGGAGCATTGCAATCTGTCCAATATCAGGTAGTTGATAATATTTCATGCTGGACCAGTTGGTAAATTCCCACACTAGCACGTTGCCCCTAAAAAGACTAAAAAGATGAAGCCTACACGTTTACAACTTTAGAACAAAGGGCTAAAATCAACATCCGACATTGTCAAATGTTTCACCAACACAATCATACAGTATGACTTCGGAATACTTACAAATGCTGACATAATCACATACAATTATACAAATTGTTCCTTTATTGAGAAAAAAAGTTGCATAGTACAACTTGAACTGCTCTCTGATCAGACTAGTGTGTGTTTAACTGTGCGTGTGTGTGTGTGTGTGTGTGTGTGTGTGTGTGTATGTGTGTGTGTGTGTGTGTGTGTGTGTTTAACTGTGCGTGTGTGTGTGTGTGTGTGTGTGTGTGTGTGTGTATGTGTGTGTGTGTGTGTGTGTATGTGTGTGTGTGTGTGTGTGTGTGTGTGTGTGTGTGTGTGTGCGCACGTGCGTGCATGCGCGTGCGTGCATGCGTGCGTGCATGTGTGTGTGTGTGTGTGTGTGTGTGTGTGTGTGTGTGTGTGTGTGTGTGTGTGTGTGTGTGCAGAGGCAGGTCTCCGGTGAGGTCCGGATGCAGCCACAGAGCAGCTTCATCAATCCCATCGCCATGACGATGGCCACATTGGGGATGGGAGTGTCTCTGTACAGCGCCAGGCAGATGGCAGAGAGGGATCTGAAGCATCAGTGAGAGCAGTGTGTGGGACAGGGTGTGGGTGGGTGTGTGTGTGTGTGTGTGTGTGTGTGTGTGTGTGTGTGTGTGTGTGTGTGTGTGTGTGTGTGTGTGTGTGTGTGTGTGTGTGTGTGTGTGTGTGTGTGTGTGTGTGTGTGTGTGTGTGTGTGTGTGTGTGTGTGTGTGTGTGTGTGTGTGTGTGTGTGTGTGTGTGTGTGTGTGTGTGTGACAGAAGGTGTGTGATGGAGCAGGTCGGGGGAGTCATGTGTTTGTGCTGCTGCTGGAAGGAAAACCTGGAAAGTGTCTGGAGGAAAGTGTGTGTCAATGTTCCCATCAGGAGGATGTGTGATGTCGTCAAACAATTAACACCTTCGTTGCCATATCAACATGTGGAGCCCATAGATTGACAATCTGCATTTTTCCTGCAGGTTGTCTTTGATTTTATTATTGATTTTATTTTAAAGCAATAAATTAGCATATCATTTGTCAACAGGGGTCTTTATGAAGTTTATCCTGTAGCCTTTGTTATTTCCTGCATTTTAAAGAAGTAACCACACAAAATAAAATAAAAACACAAATAAATACAGAAAAATAATTATGTAGGAAATTCTCTCAGCACACACGTTTTTGCAGTTATTTATTTTAGTATAAATCAACAAGCAGTGTTGTGTATTTCATGTAGCATGAAAATTAGCTTAAGAAAAAGTGTTTTTTTGTCATGGCTTGTTCAGTTTACCAAATACAAATTAGATGTATATGTATTAACATTGAATAAAGGAAATGTCTGTTAATGTAAAAAGCCACTGAAAGACATTAAATATTTAATATGTAATTCTTAAATAAATATGTTCAAAGCTTTGACCTCTCTGTGAAAAATTGAGATTTGTATGGATTTCTTTGTGTTTGTAGAAACTTTAAAACAGCTCTGTGGTTCTCAGGCTTCATCGGAAATGTTTTGTGGGAAACAGAAAGTCTCGGGCGCCTGCACAGTCTGAATGGAGCGACTCATGTGGATAAAGCTCAGGATGGGAAGTGATTTTCCCGCGAGCTGAAATTCTACATGTTCTCTAACATCAATGGATGAGAATGAGAACTGTTTCTGCTTTTACATTCATTTGTCTACACTTGCACTTATGTAAAGTGATCCTTTATCTGACAAACAGCAGTTTAAAGGGACAGTCCACGCTAAAATCTAATGTTTGTTTTACCCTACCTGTATTGCCTTTTATCAATCTAAGGGATTTTGCTGTGAGTTGCTGAGTGTTGAGATATCTGATGTAGATATGTCTGCCTTCTCTCCAATGTAGTTAAACTAAATGGCTCTCTGCTTGCGGTGCTCAAAGCGACCAAAACAGAGATAACAATAAGTGAATATTGGACTTACATTCATCAGGTGGACAAAAACACAAATATATAAATATGTTGATCTGTAATGGCTCAATGTGTAACTAAGCAACTGTTTACTTCCAAGTCCATCATATCAACAGAAAAGATGATATGTCAGTGTTGTGTTTGAAACTGGTTCCTACTGCCCTCAAGTGGCCAAAAATGATATGTGAGAGTCAGAATATGGTTTATTTTCCAAGTACACATAAATTGAATATGCTTTGGTTGGCACGTGTTCAATATAACTGTTTAAATAGCTAAAGGCAGAAATGTCCTGATCATGTCCATCAAAGAAATATTTTCAGAAATCTATCAATTTAGAACCACTGTTCAAGAGAATGTGTATGGCTGTGTTCTTTTGAAATAAGCAAGAAAATATATCAAAGAACAGTTCAATACATTGTGACAGTTTTGATTTCTAACTCTTAATTTCTAGTAGCAGGATTCTGACCTTTTGTTAGGCCTGTGATATTTTGATTTATTCTACATCCCTGTCAAAACGACTGGATCCAGAGGTCACCGTGGGAACCAGCCCCTGCTGTTGGTTTGACTAATTCCTCTCCCCTGGGAGCCAAAGAGGAAGAGGATGTCAACTGTCAATAATTTCTTTATCCAGAACTCATCTAAAACTGGAAGCTATTTTTAAATAAGACTGTATTGTACTGGGTTGAGAGAATATCTGTCATTAAAGTGACAACAGAGGGACACTAAAGACTATTATTTAAAATATAAGTTAGAGACACACATTTCAAGTGAGGATCCTCTAACTGTCTTCTGGATAAACACAATCCAAACATTGAACCTCAGGAAAGTTTTGAGAATATTGATGAGCAGATTGATACATGGATCCTATTTTCATGATTTATTATTTAATTGTCCCTGTGAGAAACCTTCACTGTTGTAGAATACTGCATCAAATATAGCTGTTAACGGCAAGCATCATTAGAGGATGTGAGTGTTTGTCCGTCTTTTCTGTCCCTCTTCATATGTTTTCCCTTTGCTGAAGATAAATGTTTCATATGTGCTGCTATAAATGAATATTGATCTTGCACTGGCACACTGATGCTTTATTTTCTTCTGTAAATGCTAATTATTTACACTATGCTGAAACAATAATCAAATAGAAAGAAAAAAAAGGAAATACATAACACCTACCTACTGACATTAGAGTTGCCAGACAAATGTGCATACACTTGTGAGTCATTATTACTGATAGACACACATACGTGGTCCTTTAAAGGCGTCAGTATTATAAAATGATTAATACATGTCCAATCTTATTTTTTGTTTTAATTCCTTAGCGGTAAAATGTATTATAATAACTACAATATGTTCTCCTGAAATGGGAGGGTGTAGAAATACAAGTTGTATAAAACAGAAATACTCAAGTACAAGTACTGTTTTTAAGCAGTACTTGCTGTGCTCCTCCACTTCAGCAGGGGTCGCCCTCTCTCCGGCTGAGTATGGGTGTGCTGTGTGTTATTTGAAGAGAAAAAGAGTTCGGCGTGGGTTTGGGACGTTTCTGTGTGATGGGGATGGATGTGGACACTTGATAAAGTTCTCAGAGCTCCGTTTGAGGAGAGAATAACAACACGCCAACAAGTGTCCAGGCTTTACATCCTCTCAGCAGGCGAGTAAGAGTTTTAAAATAACCCCCACTGATGACAGCAGCTTGTATGTCTGCAACATTCAACCCCCGTTTGTTCTTCTAAAACTATGCGTAATTTTGAGATGACAGTGCGTAAAAGTGCGCGTTTCTACGTTGCGCACCTCGCCCTCTCCTCGTCCTATCCTCATCTTCATCTTCATCGGATCTAGAGAACGAGCAGCAGCCGTCAAACCATCTCAACAACATGGCTGAGCTGCGACCCGCCCGGTGCTGGAGGACGGGCTTCTTCTTCTGTGTCTGGCTGCTCCTCTTCCTCTCCGTAGCCTCCGGGAGTCCTGATATTGTGTCGGGGAGCAACGAGACGTGGCGGGGTCCAGCCGGAGACACGCCGGAGGACCCCCACCACCAAACTAACTCCACCACTCACAAGAAGGCTTTCCCCGTCCTCTCCTTCAACTACCAGGACGTCAGGAAGCCCTTCGTGATCTCTCTGTGGATCCTGCTGGCCCTGCTCATGAAGCTCGGTGAGTGGCCACAGGACTGAAGGGGTCCTCATTCAGCATCAGTGAGGGGCTGGGGATCAGGAAATGATGGGTGCTTAGCAATGTATTTGATATCTGCAGCCTATACAATAGTTTTCTCAGGGTCAGATTGAAAGTTCATGTGTTTCTATGACAACATGTAAAGCAATTTTAAAGAGGAAAAGGAGGAAAATTGCAATAAAACATCAGAAATGAATGCACAATAACAAGCATGGGTCAGAGGTGGAAACTACATTTACTCAAGTTCAAGTACTCCACTACATTTATTATGTACCTTTTAGTTACTTTACAGATGTGGATGAATGATGTGAAATATAATCAAGTGTTAAATCAGACTTTAGTTCCACCTGGAGTAAATTCACAAGCTACCCTGCAGTATACAAAGTCATTCAAACTAGCTGCACCTTTACCAGCTTTGAGAACACTTTCATGATCAATCATTATAAAACATATCATATATATTATTCTGAAATGGGTGCATAATGAGTACTTTTATATTTTGATGATAATACTCTTGTACTTTTACTTGAGTAACATTTTGAATGCAGGAGTTTTTCGTGTAACAGAGTATTCCTACACTCTGTACTTCTACTTTTACTCAAGTACAAGATCTGAGGGATTAAAGTATACAGGCATCATGACTGAGCATGTGATAGAAATAAAAAAAAAATCTAGGCACACTGGAAAGGTGTGAACATACTGTGTTGAGGATTTGTTATTGTGATGTTGTTTCAGCTTGGTAAAAGACAGATTTAGTTAAAAAGTAAGAATTTTGTATGGAGTTTGGTGTGAGTATGTTTCCTGGCAGGTACTGGTGTCAGCAGCTAATGTTTTGAAGTCGACTCAGAGAGTCACATTATAAGTTACCAGAAAAAGGTCATTGCTTAAATTGAACTCTTACTAAATTGCTGACAATGCTTTACATTTTGAATTCCCTTTCCTTTCAAAATATATTTATATCATTAAAAAAATGTTGAGTCTATTGTTTAATCTGCCGTATATGCAGTCCATCAAACCACCTATGTTAATACATCCTCAAAACATTTGATTCTGTCCAAGCAACAACTTTTGCTTCCTGGATCATAAGACACCCCTATTTATATCACGCATCTTCCGTTAAACACATAAACACAACCAAAAGAAAACGCATTATATTCCCTTCTACTTTAAATTAGCACATGTAAACAAAGAAATTGTGCACCAAAAACAGCTGCTACTGTACAAGCCTGAGGTTTATCCGGATTCTCAGGATTCCTTCAAGTAACTGTTAAACGTCCATGTTTCCTATGTAAACAGCCCATAATTCCAATCCATGGTTACAAAATGAAAAGATATTTTGGAGTGTCTTGCTACCGACAGCCAGGATTTTCAAAAATAATAGCTACAACACCAGCAGTTAAGAACAAACAAAGATGTTTAAGGCAAGGCAAGTTTATTTATATAGCACCTTTAAACACAAGGCAATTCAAAGTGCTTTACAAGAATGAAAGACATTAAGAGCATTAAGAAATAGTGCAGTGGAAGCACGTTATAAAATGGCATTTAAAAACCTTCATTAAAAAGGAAAGCGGATATAATAAACATGAAACATGAATAACACGGGTATAAAATACATGAATAAAAGTTATAGTGTAGTATAAGGGTTCCCAAAGGAGAGCTGATAGTGTCTCCACAGAACACTCCGGTTATGTTTCTGTGCAGCACAAACTTGTTTTAGAAGCGTCAGTGTGTCTGTCAATTAAGCAAATGTTGAAGGATTAGACTTTAAATAACCCTGGCAGAGGTTTGGCTGCAGTTGTTCAGACTAATTAAAGGTAATAAATATCTCTCTGTGGAGTTGTATAATAAGTCTTCTCTCGCCTCTGACCTTTAGCTTTCACACAACCACCCTCCTCATATGCTGAGAGGATAAACTATTCCCCAGGATACAAAGAATATATAAAAGAAGTCATTATACCAACAGGCAGCTGGCTTACTCGATTCTTCTTGTTATTTTGTGTGATCAAATTTGCATGTAATCAAGGCAGAAACACAGAACAACATGTGAAAGAACATACATACAGCTCCCTTACAAATAAACAAAAACACCATAAGACAAAACATAATAAGATCAAAACACCCGCCCCACCCTTCCCAGGACCCCTGTGGGCTGGTTCAAGCGCCAATAGGCAACGAGCAGCATCAAATTACATTTACACACGCAGAGAGAAAGGAATCACATTCCAATCCCATTGATACGGGCTGTTGGACAACATCAAGTTAAAACCATTGCTTAATGGACAAATTGTGGCGCACCGCAACCATTTTCTCAGCAGCCGTTAGACCAGCAAGACCTATGCGTTTTTGATATTTTAGGAATCTGAAGGGAAGAAATGTCACTCAGTAGAAGAGTGGATATGGTCGCAGGCACCGACGATTGTTCTTATTTTAATATTTGTTTCATGAACTCAATTATAATATCACATATAATTATTATTGTCTATAGTATTTGAGCGCTTGCAGTATTCAAACAAGTGTTGTTTTTGTTCTTTACTATATGATGTTCTATTTAAACAGTGACACCACACACCCAAGAAATGTTTGACCAGCTGCCGACCAGACTATCTGCAATGTTCAGAGCTTTCAAGAAAATCACAAAAATATCTAATTGTATTCAATCATTTCATGGTTCAAGTTTTTTTTTAATCTACATTATGCTTTATAATGAGGAAATTGCACAGAAATTCCAAAGACATTTTAAAATAGTATCGCACTTAAAACGTTTGTGCTCCAGAAAGCTTTACAAAATGTAGATTTAAGATGTCCTGCTAAGTACATATTTTAGTCCCGATTATTATTCAATTTGACTTTAAAAACTCAATATTTAAATAGTGAACTTTTTCAGAACATTTGGTATTTGTGCGTTGATTAATAAATAATAACTAATGTCATGAAAATAAGAATATAACATAATGTGTTTCTGCTAACATTGACACTTTTTCACTGTTACTAGTCCACCAGAAATGATTCATTTGGGGTAAAGAAACCACTTGTTGATACTCCTTTTCAGTGGCTGAGAAGGGAAGAAACTGTGTTGCCTGAGAAAATAATATCATTGGACTGTTCCTAATAAAATAAGAACTCTAATTTAGGCCCTCCCCAGTGGTGGAAGAAGTATTCAGATCTGTTTACTCAAGTAAAAGTACTCAAGGGACTACTTGGTTGCACTCAGTCTTAAAACACTAAAATAAAAATAAAGGGAAAGTATTTATTGAGCAAAAAGGGCCTTTCATAATACCAGTGATTATAATTATTGATGCATTAATGCGTTCATCACTTTAATGTTGCAGCTGGTAAAACCGAAGCTCACTTTAATTACTCAAACAACTGATGGGTATCTATCATAAAATAATATTTTAATGTATTAGTTATATTTTAAGTAACTACAGATTTGAAATAGATGAGGTAAAGTATTGGTACAAAGTAGCATAACATAGAAGTACTCAAGTAAAGTACAAGTTCCTCAAATTGAGCTTAAGTAATGTACTTAGTTACATTCCGACACTGGTTACAGCTGCTGCCCTTATTACTGTAAGATTTATTACAAATAAAAATAAGTTTTGCCTTTGAATTATTATAAAATAGTTCACCCTGCCTCCCTGAATGGAGGACGCCGGGCAGCGATGATTCTGATTGGCTGGTTGAATCTCTCCTTCACTGAGTCATTGGCAGCTCTGCGTCTTATCTGCTCCGTCCAGCTGCTGCTGACGGGGGCCGGTCCAACTTCCTGTCCTAATGCACTGCTCGATAACAAAGATCCCAGTGTAGAGGCAGAGCGGGGGGGAGCACGGACCTCTGACTGCAGAAAACATCACAGAAAATGTTCCTTACAGCTGCCTCGACCCGAGTCACATGACAGGGAGGCTGAATGTCAAGGCCTATTCAGCTCACAGACAAATGTGAGATTAACAGAGCAGTGATATCTACTGTATCAGCCCTTTATTTAACACATAGCTATAATGTGAGGTTTTTGCAGTGACACTGTTGAATATCATTGGAAATGAAATCTATTAGGAAATATTCTTAAACAAAACAGACAATTACCTTCTGCTCTGGGGACTAACATTTATACTAAAAGCATTGAAAATGATTGTTGTCTTCAACAGATTCAATATTCAAAGGCTTTATTGTCATTGGTAATATATGTTCAGCATAATTTGAAAATCATAAGTCCCGGGCTCCGTCAAATATGCAACATACAAAATACTTTGTTCTGCTCATTTTCAGGTTCATATTTGTATTTTATGCCTCTACTATGACATGTCTCCATGCTTTAATGCTCTTTATTTGTCTCCTATTGCCTCTTTTCACCCTCTGTCTGAAACCAGAGCCCGGTCTGCTCTCATTGGTTAGCTGGCCGGCTCTGTTATTATTGATCAACCTTTTAGAGATGTCCCGCCCCTTAGCCTATCACGTACAATGTGTTGGAGCGCTAGCCAATAGAAGCGTGAGTGTTGCGTAGTGATCACATTATGTTACTGAAGTAAACAAAGGAGTCCAATGGAGGCGGTTCAGGTGCACTATATTAAACACTGCAAGAAGGGAAAACCCCAAAAAGTATAATAGTGATTCTTTAAGATTTACAAACAAATAGAAATGTTGCGCGAAGAAATTGAAATAAAAAAAAAAAATCTATTGAAATATAAAAAAGAAATGTTGAAAGAGAATCATGCAAGTGACACAAAGTGCAAGTAAATGCAGATATAAGTAAACTTTATACATGTAAAGATGAGATTTTATGTAAAATTAAATACTGTACAGTATACAGTACATATTTTGCTTTTGTAGTAATATATTAATATGTAGACTGTAAACAGATTTGTGTACACTAGACATAAGTTGGTTACGACACTTAACTTGTGGCCCTGTATAACATCCACTAAATGCTAATATTATTGACTGTTCCCATTTAAATCTAGATTAAAAACATAAAATATGACCTCCACAGATATTTATGTTCAGTCTTTTATTCACGCCTGCAGCAGCCTCTACTGTATATTTTATGAGATGGCTGCAGTGGCGTACAGCTGACTGAGTGCATCCTTTTTTTGTTTTCAAATCAAAGTGCTGCTCTAACGCACACAGAACCGTTTCCTGAATATAGACTCTGGGTATTATATCATATTAGGTTTGTGATAAGAGTTTATGTTAATTTACTTTTCCACTACAGCAGGGGAAAAAATACAGCCGAGTCATGAGTCACAATTTGTTTAAAGTATGAAGTGCCATTTTACAACTTGGTTTAAGAGATATTAGTATAATTTTGTATAGAGTTTGGTTCGAGTAGGTTATCCTGGCTAAAGTTGTCAGGTTGACTGTATAATTTTTTTGTCTAACCAAACTAGTTTGCAAAAAACGCTTCATAAGCGGTTGGCTAAAGACTGGTCTGCCGCCAAATCCCTCATGACAGGACGAGATGGCTGCTGCATACACCTTGACTGTGGCATGAGCATGAGCAAGCCCCTTGTCCACCAGTAGCTATAGATAGGATAGAATAGAGCCCAATGTACCGGACGGAGGCTCTAGACTCCTTTCCTCGCACCAACGTTCAGTCTGCAAACTGCCTGAAGCAGGGACGTCTGTCTGTTCTCTGACAGAGTGGCACGTAGCCTGCCCTCCTTCTCGATGGGGCGTACACCTCGCTCTCGAATGTTCTCGTCTCACCCCCTCCAGGAGTGGGGTATGAGACGCAGCGGTGGAAAGGCGTAGAGCAGGGGCGGCGGGTACTGTAGACTAGGGAAGGCTAAGCCTTCCCAAATATTTTTGTCACTGCATCCTGGTAAAATTAAAATATAATGTATAATGTTTGTGTCTTTGACATTAGCGCTGCTATGCAGCCACCAGTGCCCTGTACTACGAAACCAGTTCAACAGACCCTGGATATGTTTGAGTTATCTTAACTAACCCTAACAAACGAGATCTCGCTAAGCGGTCCTACGACGCTGGTTATCAACTCGGTAAATCAACCAAGGGTTTCTCTTTCCGTCTGAGAGCGCGTTCACGTGAAAGGGGCGGGGTTTGCAACATTTGACCAATCACAAACATGGACAAGCGTGACAGCGCAGCGTCATACTTCATTAATGAAAAGTAAACTATAATATTAGACAAATATGAAGAAGTTACACTTTAAACATCCATGACTTTAACACATAATCTAGGATAAAAGCCACATCGTTGTACCTGCAAGGTGAATACAGAACAGCTAGTAAAAATAAAAATAAACTACAGAGTGTTTGCATTCGTACATTAACAGTTTATCATAAGACACGAGTGGATCTGACTTTAATTACATTCGAGTTGAGTGTTTCGTCAACTTAATGTGTTGCTTAAAATAATACTTCTGCATACAGTATGTGACACTGTAAGTGTTGCACGGCCAGATACGGCTCAAGAAGCTGACTCAGATAAAGAAATATATGATATAGCCTATTATGATATTATATGATCGATGATGTGATTGATGATGTGATATGAATGATAAGTGCGACACGTCGGCGTCTTCCCTGCATACGGCAGTTTCAACTGTATTTCCTCTATCCTGTAATATGAATTGATAGCTTTAAACTCCGCACACTGAGCTCTGATTGGTCAGCAGGCGGTGCTTTCACTGAGTTGATCTCTTATCTATAGATGCCGGAGGCGGGCAGCGTCAGGTAAAAAAAACGTATTAGCCTTCCCAAACCTGAGCCTCACTTCCGTAGAGCATGTAAATAGGATAGAATAGAGCCCAATGTACCGGAGAGAGGCTCTAGACTCCCTTCCGAGCGGCGACCTGGAACTAATATGAACCTGAAAACTAGCATAAAAGGGCCCCTTTAAAAAAAATGATTGACAGTACTTAACAATGTTTATGTTAAAAGTTCAAATACAACATACAGGAGAAAGGGAATGTTGACACATGATATAATACAAAACTATAAGAGAACCCTTTTTGCTGAAAGAAAGGTTTATGAGAAGGAGTAAAAGTGAATGGTGTTGACTTTTACTTTACCTGAGTAATTATCTCCAATCTTTCTCTCTCAGGTTTTCACATCATTCCTAATATATCCAACGTGGTCCCGGAGAGCTGTCTGCTGATTGGCGTAGGTCTGCTGGTGGGCGGGATCATCAAAGCCATCGGAGAGGAAGCCCCCGTCCTGGACACCAAGCTCTTCTTCCACTACCTGCTGCCCCCCATCATCCTCGATGCCGGCTACTTCCTGCCCATCCGGGCCTTCATGGAGAACATGGGCACCATCCTGGTGTTCGCCGTGGTGGGGACTCTGTGGAACGTCTTCTTCATCGGGGGGATGATCTTTGCCGTGTGTCAGATTGAAGGCGTGCAGCTGGCCGGGGTGGACCTGCTGTCCTGCCTGCTGTTCGGATCCATCGTCTCCGCCGTGGACCCCGTGGCCGTCCTGGCCGTGTTCGAGGAGATCCACATCAACGAGCTGCTGCACATCCTCGTGTTCGGGGAGTCGCTGCTCAACGACGCCGTCACCGTGGTGAGTGAGGGGGGCGGGGGAACGGGTTGGTGCTTCTACTTTAATAGATAGAAGGGAGCAATGAAAGTTTTAATGATGGAAGAAAGGAAAGATGTAAATAGGTAGAATGGAAAAGAAAAATATGAAAGAAGAAAGGAATAGGGTTAAGAGAAAAGGAAAGAAAGAAAGAAAGAAAGAAGAAAGGACGAAGAGAGCAATGACAGAAGGAAGGAATTGAGCAGTGAAGTAAAGAAGGTAGAAGTCAAGAAGGAAGGAAGGAAGACACAAAGGAAGGAAGTAAGGAAGGAAGGGTGAAAGAAGAAAAGAAGGAAAATATGAAAGAAGGGAGAAAGGGAAGGAAGAAACTAAGGGAGCAATAGGCGCGTTCACACCAAGTACTTTGCCGTATTTAGTGCCGGCACTCAGAGCCCCGGCACTTATGACCCCAGGGCATTTAGTACAGATCGCGTTCACACCGGAGTACTTTTCCCTGAGGGAAGATTACGCAAATGAGCCGCTGACGTCACTTCGTCTTCTTCTGCTTTGGGTTTACTGGCAGGCCGCAAACCACTTCACGGCGTATACTGCCACCCGAAGTCCCCGGCCGGAAGTCCCCGGAGTTGGAGACTGGCTTCAGTAGAAGCTGCTGGGACTCCCAGCAGCTTCTACTGAACCCTTCCGAGTAAATCGCCAGAACGCCGACACCTCCTCATCTCCACCGCTCCCATGTTTTATTTTGTGTTGCCATAAGTTAGTCTCTCTCCGTTTGTGCACTGGGCTAATGCTAATGCTAATAATGCTAATGCCAGGATAATAAAATGGTGGCTCTCCAAAACATTTCAGAGTTGTACGGGGCGTGGTTTGCAATTCGCCCAGCCAATCAGAACTGGGGCACTTTTTTCCCCCAGGAAAGTACCATCTCTCAGCAGGCACTAAAAATGGGGGTAAAAGTTCCCGAGATTAAAGGTGGGGTAGGTAAGTTTGAGAAACCGGCTCGAGATACACTTTTTGTTATATTCCATGGAATGCTCTTAACATCCCGATAGCAATGAATATCTTAAGTGCTTTGACAAAAAATCCATTAAAAAATGTCATCTGTGGAAGCCGTAGTACTGTAAAAAGCACGACCAATCATTTTAGCCGGCCCGGCTAAAATAACTGGATGGCCTACCTGCCTGTCAGCCTTCCATCTGTGCACAAACTTATCTCGTGCCCTCATTGGTCATGTGCACGTTCGTGTGTGTTGGAGGAGGGGCTCTATAAGGAAGTGGCAGATTTTCTCCGGCTGTGTATTTTCAAATTCTAGCGATCTCGAGCCGGTTTCTCAAACTTACCTACACCACCTTTAAGTGCTCTTTTTGGTGTGAACGCGACATAAGGGGTACTAACGGAACTAAACGCGAAAAGTACGGTGAAAAGTACTCCGGTGTGAACGCGGCTAATGAAAGAAGTAAGGTTCTATTGAGAAGAAAGGAAAATAGGAGCTAAGTAAGAAAGGAAGTATGTGAAAGAAGGAGGGAACAAAGTATATCAAAAAAGAAGGAAGGCAGAATGTAAGAAGAAAGGAAGGAGGGAAAGAAGGAAGAAAGAAAGGAAGTATGTAAAAAAAAAAAGGAGGAAGGTAGTATATGAAAAAGAAGGAAGGTAGGAAAGAAAGAGGATATACAATTAGGGATGAAGTGTGAAAGGAACGGAAAGATTATAAAGGGAATTATAGAGAAGTAAGGTATTGAATAGGGGAAGAACGAGTGGTCAAAGTATAAAGAAAGGGAAATGAAAGGCAGGTGAGAAGAATAAAGAGGACGGACAGGAACGACCGAAGACAAAATGACCTTCACTTAAATAACAAACCCAGTGTTGAGAGCTATAGGAAGCACAACACCTTGAATACAACACAAAGCAAGTCTCAGTAAGCGTTTCCCTGGGCAGGTTCTGTATCACCTGTTCGAGGAGTTTTCTCACGCAGGAACTGTGACCGTGTTGGACGGCGTGCTGGGGGTCGTCTGTTTCTTTGTGGTTTCACTGGGGGGGGTCATGGTGGGCGCCATCTACGGCCTCCTGGGGGCCTTTACCTCCCGCTTCACCGCACACACCCGGGTCATCGAGCCCCTGTTCGTGTTCCTCTACAGCTACATGGCTTACCTCTCTGCGGAGGTCTTCCACCTGTCTGGCATCATGTCGTAAGTCCCTGTGACACAAGATGGGATTGTTAATCCAAACCAATACTCTTACAGCCAGATTTCAAAATGCTCTCCTTGTTTCCTGTCTGTCACGCTCAGGTTGATTTCATGTGGCGTAATGATGCGGCCGTACGTGGAGGCTAACGTCTCGCACAAGTCGTACACCACCATCAAATACTTCCTGAAGATGTGGAGCAGCGTGAGTGAGACGCTCATCTTCATCTTCCTCGGTGTTTCCACGGTGGCCGGTCCTCACGCCTGGAACTGGACCTTCGTCATTTCCACCGTCATCCTCTGTCTGGTGTCCAGAGTGCTCGGTCAGTTAAAAACCCTGAACATATCAGTTAGTGACTTTTGTCGCTGTATTCTTTCCAGTTCTTCTTCTTCATAAACGGTATTGTGTTGTTTTCTGTCCATTCTTCAGGAGTCATTGGCCTCACGTGCATTATTAATAAATTCCGTATCGTGAAGTTGACCAAAAAGGATCAGTTCATCGTGGCCTACGGTGGCCTGCGAGGTGCCATCGCCTTCTCTCTGGGGTTCCTGCTGACCGACAACGAGAGGAAGAACATGTTCCTCACCGCCATCATCACCGTCATCTTCTTCACTGTCTTTGTGCAGGTGAGAGGGACATTTGCATTTCTCTGTTTTATCTGCAATAAAGTGACTTCAGACAAGATTAAGATATATAAGAAAAGCCTTCATTCATCACCAGAGGAGATATGTAGATGTTAGAGCATCATAAAAGAAAACATATACAGCATAGTATAGTATGACATGTAATATATAGTATAAGAAGCAATGTCATAGTTATATTTCAAAAATAAAAGGAAGTATTATAAGATAATACACTTTATATTTAAAAAATATTCCTGCATAATGTTTCTATCAAGTAAAAGTGGTCCAGAAAAAGACACAGGGTGGTTTCTTTATTATTATTACGAAGGTTATTTGTTGATTTTATCACTATCTAAAGCACATGTGTCAAACTCAAGGCCCGGGGGCCAAATCCGGCCCGTGGTAGATTTAATTTCGGCCCGCAGGATAATTTCAAATTACTATTAGATCTGGCCTGCCAGTATATTGCACGCACACCTTCACTCAATCCTGAGGATTTCCTCAGCTCAGAGCCTGAGCCCAAACATTGATGAACTTGCACCCAAGATGAGATGCCAAGTATCTGGCTTGAACTAGCATCACAGAGCAGCACACTGAGTTTCAATGGATGTTTCCTTCTGCACTTTTTTTCTTGAGACAACAGGGCATGTTTGTTTTTTCTTTGAGGGAAATGTACTCATAAGAAATGACTCCTGAAAAGCTGCAGATAGAGCCATAAGAAATGAATGCAACTGATTATTTAATGTTTAATGTTGTTTTTATAGGCAATCATTTAAGCTTTGTTAGTTCCAGGTTTAATATGTGCAATAAGTTCATTTCAATAAGTTTTGCAATAAACATTGAACCAGTCCGGCCCTCGACTAGTACCCATTTTTTTTTTTGGCCCACTGTGTATTTGAGTTTGACACCCCTGATCTACATGGTCTCACTTGTTGTTTCTGTCTTCAGGGAATGACAATCAGGCCTCTGGTGGAGCTCCTGGCCGTGAAGAAGAAGAAGGAGAGCAAACCATCCATTAATGAGGAGATCCACACACAGGTGAGATCCACAATCTGACCTGGAACACTGTTAACGTACAAGATGTAACAAATATTAAAGCTTGAATCACATTTTTCACACACTTTATGCAGAAATAACATCATATAACTTTCCTTTTGTCTCCAGTTTCTGGGTCATCTCCTCACAGGAATTGAAGACATCTGTGGTCATTATGGACATCATCACTGGAAAGACAAGTAGGATTTTTCCTCTGACTTCTCCCTATTACTTAAGAAACGGCCTAACAGCAAGGTTTGCAACGGATCTGATAAAAACTGATCCAGATTTGAACACTGTCCTGATGTCAGGACAGTGGCGCTACGGCTATTGGGCCAACTCCACCAATCAGGAGGAGACAACCACGGCCATTGCCGTTCGAAAGCGCTGGAGACGCTGTAGTACATATGCCAGACCTGTAGATGGTGCTGTTCTCACAGAATCAGCCCTTGCAAAAACAGAGCTAGAAATGGTCAAATTGAGCAAAATGAGGCATGGCTAAAATGCATGATCCGTTTGGTATTTTGAAAAAAAAAAAGTATAAATATGCCTTATATAGGTATGGTCCTACACTATATTATTCAAATATAGCATGATAGGTCCACTTTAAAGGAGCAAACCCTCTCTGGTAACTAAGCTGAATTGAAAACAAAATTAAGTACAAAACTAAAATAACTCGGTATATCAGTTTTAGCCCCTTCAATCGGCACACATAAAACATATATTTGAAAAACATACATTAGAAAATAATAAAATAAAACAATATATACATCTATTCCTTCTTACTGTACAAATACACTTAGAGAGACTAGTGTGAATAAGGGGAAGTGCAGAAGGTATTTGTATGGTAATGATCAAATTACCATCAATGCTATGAGTTCTTTTAACGCTGTGACTGAGTATAAATGTTAATGAGTGCTTCCTGTGCTCAGGCTGAACCGCTTCAACAAGACCTACTTGAAGAAGTGGCTGATCGCAGGCGAGCGCTCCACCGAGCCGCAGCTCATCTCCTTCTACAACAAGATGGAGATGAAGCAGGCCATGATGCTGGTGGAGAGTGGGAGCGCCGCCAAGCTGCCCTCCATCCTGTCCCCCGTCTCCATGCAGTGAGTGTTAGTTCATGTAGAAGTCATGAAGACAAATTCAGTTTTTTCACATACACCTGAGGTCGAACACTACAAGTCTCCTGGATGCAAGAACGCTCCAAATGAAAACAGATATAAATACCAGGGCATTTGTTCGAGAGATGCATTAGTGTAACTCGATTCATGTGCATGCCTTAAAACATTAGTGTTAATTGACAAAACACAAAACGTATCAGTTCCTATATGTTTTTTGTAGGGATATGTACACACTTTTTAAACCCAAAATCCATTCGGTACCAAATATCATCTTACTCTATTGTGACATTAACTCATATTGCTTTTTATCCCAGCACACATTGCAAATTACAGTCCTTGGTTAATATATTGCAAATATTGTGAAGCTCCCTTTCATTTTAACAACAGATATATTTTAACATTTTGATCAAAATGCATTTTTCTTGACAATTTTGTTATTTATGATTCTTGAATTTTGTTGTATCTTTTTATTTTACTCCCACTATGTTCATTGCTTTGCACCAACAACCAAGGCAAATATTTATATTCAAAAACCTACATGGCCTTAACCATGCCTCTGATTCTGAATATTCAAATAATTTGTTCCAAAATAAAACTGAAACATTTTTGCTGTACAAATCTATTTTGTCTAAATTAAATAATTTCTACATTTTCAAATATTTTACCTCTGTTGCCTGTTAAAGGTGGGGTAGGTGATTTTGGAGAAACCAGCTAGAGTGCGCTGGAATTTGAAAATACACAACCGGAAAAAATCTGCCACTTCCTTACAGAGCCCCTCCTCCAACACACACGAACGCGCACATGACCAATGAGGGCACGAGATAAGTGTGTGCACAGATGGAAGGCTGACAGGCAGGTAGGCCATCCAATCATTTTAGCCGGGCCGGCTAAAATGATTGGTCGTGCTTTTTACAGTATTACGGCTTCCACAGATGACATTTTTTTATGGATTTTTTGTCAAAGCACTTAAGATATTCATTGCTATCGGGATGTTAAGAGCATTCCATGGAATATAACAAAAAGTGTATCTCGAGCCGGTTTCTCAAACTTACCTACCCCACCTTTAAGTGTTAAAGGAGAGGTGTCATGGCCATTTCCACTGATCATAATTCCATTGTTGAGGTCTACTAGAATAGATTTATACTGTGCATTTTTCCAAACTCACATTGGTTTCTCATACAGCATCTCTGTAAACTACTTGTATTCACTGAATTTCACTATCTGCCTTTAACGGCTCGTTGTAGCTCCCAAAGCTCCAGCCCCCACCCTCCCTGTGAGCACAGTGTGCTCTGATTGGTCGGGACGTTGTGAATCGCGCTGAGCTCCGTGGAGGTGTTGTTTCCTTGTTTAGGATACATAGAGAAACACAGCCAAACTCATCCTGAGCACACACAAAGTCACATCCGAAGTCAAAACAATAAGTGTGGCTTGATATTGAGTAAGAAAAAGGTTGATAAACGCTGTGAGAATGGGTCTGCAGAGAGAATTTCGCCGCGATCCCAACTGTCTGTTATCAGCCTGCAGCCAGGGAGGAGAAATCAGCTGAGCTGCCTGCTCCCTGCACACAGATGTGTGTGTGAGGAAGTCCGTGGATTGGTCAATTTGGACCAATCAGCGGGGGCTTAACGTAACGGCTCCGCGGACGTAACGTAACGGCTCTTCGGGATTGGTCCATTTCGTTCCGGGTACCGCTTGACATCATGCCGTACCCGGAACGAAATGGAAGAATCAAATGGGCAGTGACGTATCTCCAACGAGGCGTTTTGGGGAGGTATTTTCTGTGTTAGAGTTTTACTCGCTACAGGGTGTACTTTGAGGGTTTTGACTGCACACCGTTTACATGCATAAAAACCTTCATAACACACAAGGGGACGGGTAATAACCGGAAAAGCATGACACCTCTCCTTTAATATAAGGTATTACAGTATGCCAATGAGTTTGTTAACCACCAGTATAGATGTTTAATTTGTGCTTTGGCCATTTTAATAAAACCATAAAAATGAGTTGTTATGACTAGTAATGAGATGTGATGTTGTGCCTCCACAGAAACATTCAGCAGAGAGGGTCGGGCAATCGACGGGCCATTCCGAGTATTTCCAAAAGTCGCGAGCAAGAGATCCGGAAGATTCTGCGAAGTAACCTGCAGAAGACCAGGCAGAGGGTATAGGACATCATTCATGACGTTGTTATGCAAAGAGTGAAATGTAATGAGTTATCAGAAAGGTAATAAATGTGATTCTGACGCTTTGTTTTTTTAATCTATTTTTGTCCTTAGCTTCGTTCGTACAGTAGACACGACCTGATGATCGACCCGTTTGAGGACAACGTGAGTGAAATCCGATTCAGGAAGCAGCGGGTGGAGATGGAGAGGAGGGTGAGTCAAACAGCCTTGTCTACTTCTCCTAGAAGTATACTTGATTTTGAAAGCTCATTTAGGTCCTAAACCTTAAACCTGAAAATCACAGAGTTGACCTTTTCAAAGTCAATGTTCTTTATTTCATTTAATGATATACAGTACATATATGGAAGATAAGCATTTCTGTCTCACCTTCAATTATTTAACAGTGTTCACATATTCTGGTTTCTTTTGGTTGCCATGGCTATTCTGGGACTTCTTTTTAAGCCTTTAATTGATCTGTATCTGCGCTCTCTGTATCTAAAATGGTTTCTAACCTAATTTACAGATGGACCTATTTGTTCTAAGACAAGTTAATTATTTGGACCTTATTTGTAGTTGCTTGTTATGCTGGTGTAATCCCATTTACTAAGGATAAATGCTTTTAGTATATACCTGAATGGCGCCCAAATGTCCCCTTTGTCATACGATTCAATTTGAATGAACAAAGTAAAACCTAATGGCCATTCTTTCTAATTGAACATGTTGATGCATCATTCATTTTAAGATTCTGATTATGAACCTCTTTGTGTTATTCACAGATGAGTCACTACCTCACAGTTCCTACAAATCGCCAGGAAACACCGTCAGTGAGAAAAGTGTGCTTTGAACCAGGTCAGACTTTTCAATATATATTAGTCTTTCGTAAATTATTAGTGGAATTAAATGTTGTAGTAATCTAGATCTGCAAAGTAACCTCAGCTTTCAAATAATGTAGTGGAGTAAAATAGTAAAACATTTACCTCGGAGGTGAAGTGGAAATGCATAGCCTCCCAAATGAAGGGAGCCGTAGGAGTGCCATCAAAAGATATGGAAAAGAAGAAGAAAATGGATATGGAAAAAAAGGAAATGAAAGAACAAAATGTTAAATACATTTCAAAAATGTAATAAAGAATAAAACAGTAAACAAGAAAAGTGCAATGTAAAGAAACAAATAAAAGAAACAATGAAAAAATTTGAAAATATAAAGACAAATATGAGATAATTATTATAAGCATTATATTGTATTTTTTTTTACATGAAAATGATTTGAGATTATATTGAATTATTTAAATGTTATTTGTATTTTTATTTACTGCTGATATAATGTCTTTTATGGCACTCTTGTGACTCCATACAAATTAATCCTGACTAAAACCCAAACTTCTACAAGTGTTTATGATTTATTAGCTGCTTGTAAAAAAATGTTAAGCAATCAATTATGTCACTGCACTTTGCATGTATCCCCCAGAACATCAGGTTTTCACCTATGACAACAGTGAGAGCCCCCGGGGCCCGAGGGCTCGGCCAGACCCCGGCCCCCTTGATGCCATTAGCCTGGTGAGTGAATCCCAGGGGCCCAATCAGAGCCGCGAGCAGAGAGCCAAAGTGCCTGAGGAGCACGAGGAGCAAGACCAACTAAAACTATCACGCTGCCTTAGTGACCCGGGGCCAAACCAGGAGGAGGATCTCTCGTGATGAAGTATATTCAACTTTCATCATGTCTTTGTTGTATTTAATGAGTGGAGATCAATGAATGGGAGTCGTAGCAAAGCTTGATATTTATGAAGTATTATTCTTTTCCATGTTATGTTTTTTTGATATGAGATTATAAAAAAAAGATTTTAATCATGTAACATATTACCAAAGCATGCACCACTGACTATTTGCTATTTCGGGACTTAAATACAGCCTGAAGTTAGCAAAGGTTCACCATTTTGTGTCTTAACAAACAGATCTGCATCAAATAGAGCACTTGTTTTAACAAGCTTGAAGCACCAGATGGGTGGAGGTGACCCCCTCAAAGCACAGTATTAAGAGGGATGATGTTACTATTACAGATATATCAGTGTTGCCATTTATCTACGGATGAGTAGCAAGAAAAATCTGCACAGAATTACCAAAGAAATGTTTGAGGTGAACGATGTTGTGCAAATTGTACAAAGTTTGATTTTGGCCGTGCTAGTGGCATTGCTTTAAAAATGTCAAACTAAAATATGTTAACAAGTACTTGCCAAAAATCTTGTGTACAGACATTCATGTTCCCCAGAGGATGAATGCTCATGACTTTTACTCTACTGCCATTATGAAGTTTACATTTTCTGGGTTGTGTTTGAAATACATCGACCAATATTCAATGGTTTGCCATAAAATATCCTTTAGACATTCATGCTCCCTTTTATAATGAATCTAAATGACTTAATTCCTTGTCTCATTTACCTGCCATCATCAACTCGATCTTTTAAAATACTTGCACAACTAAAATGTCCATTACATTTTGTGTTTAGTGCTTATTAGCAAATATTGACTAAAAGGGAAACATGGTAAACATTATATCATGTTAGAATGAGCATGTAGAGCATATAGTGTTTACCTTGTTAGCGTGTTAGCATTTAGCTCAAAGCAATGTTGGACACACTTACGCCTGCATTATTCTAAAAAACAGCTATCTAACAATGTTTTTTGTCATCATGTCACATAATCATTTAAAAATGGGGACACATCCAGACAGTCTCTCTTAGAAAACATTCATAATGTTACACTTTGTTGTGACATTAAATGAGAAGTAGTTTTTTTACTTTGTTATCGTGTTAGCATTTAGCTCAAAGCTATGTTGGACGCTCCTAGGGCTGGGGTATGCTTAAAAAGAACTAGCTTGTTTTTAGATGTTCTAAAACATTATCATTTATAGAGGGGGATAACGTCACACATCAAGACAGTCTCTCCTAGAAACTGTTCATATTGATGTAGCCTACTTTCACATTAAAAGTGACAGAAGTAGTTTGACAAGAATGAAGGAAGAGTGTTCATACTGCAGTTCTTTTTTTAGCTCTGCCCAGCTGTCCAAAAACAGCATGAGGTGGGTGTTAATGTCAAATATTTCATTTAGAAAGTTAGAAAAGTGTCACAGACCCCCATGAATATGATATTGGAAAGGTGTGGGGGAAGAGGGAGTTTCCGAAGCTAGCATCTGATAAGCAGTTCAGATGAGATATACTGCTGCATTTGGTCTTTATTTAACTCTGAAGTGTCCCATTCTGGATACATCTTGTTGAAATTCAAATGTCACATCAGTAAAAAAAACAATTTGAGCAGATGGTGCCCTATCAATATCAAAAATGTAAAAACTCTCAAAGATTTACCTCATAAATTCTTGATCGGACTATATGCTATTGTGTCTAAAAACCTGCAAGAGGGTATATTCTTGTGTATTGAAGTGTCCTTTAGAAAGCACAAATCTGGTGATCCAAGAATATTAAACGTCAAGAATAAACTGCAGCAATATTGTTTGACCCAGGTCTCTGAACAAGATTACTTCACATCACAGCATGACTGATCAGTGTTTTCTCAGGGACTGCAACAAGACCCAGTATTACCAGATGGCCTTTGCAGAAAAAGTGTTACTGTCTACACATTGTGCCCCTATCGCCTCTATATTGTGACTGTTTGTAAACTGCAGTGTTTAGCTTCAGAAACATTCCACAAGTAATTGACTTTCTCAATTTCCTTGTAACTAAGCTCGACATGTGTCTGTTCCTGGTAACTGAGCGTGCTTAGGCTTTAATTGGGAAGTGAAGAGATGAATCATCTTCTCTGCACTGCCTGAGCTTTTGCTGCCTGCATGAATACCTTCAAATGTATTGCTTCCTGTGTGTTTCTCTGTTGTAGTATTTTTATATTTTGAAGGTGGACAATGATCTGAAGTATTGTATATTTGTCAAATGAAGGAAAGCTTTCATTCCTGTCTCAAATAAAGATATGTCATTGCTTAAGCTCAGTGATTTGAAGAAGAAGATTCAACTTATTGTCATTACGTAGTACAGGTATTATGTAACAAAACGGTTTCTCTGCATTTGACCCATCCTAGTGTTAGGAGTGGGCTGCCACTATGTACGGCGCCCGGGGAGCAGTGTAGGGAACGGTGCCTTGCTCAGGGACACCCCTGTAGCACTTGGTCTTTCCGGGACTTGAACTGGTGACCTTCCAGTTGCCAAGCCAAGTCCCTATGGACTTCGCCACCACTGTTAGATTTTGGAAAAAGAAACATCGATTCAAGCATTTCCACATGCACCCTCCTGCCGTATTTCATTTATAAGTGAGTTATGTTGTTCAGCCCACCTTGCCTCTCATTGGAAACTTGAGTCTAAATAACAGGGATTTGAAGTCCCTAACATGCCAACCAGCAGTGTGTGTAATGTGAGAGTTTGACAACTTGTACAACAAACATCTTTAGGCAAGCATCATGACCAGCAGCATGGATTTCTGCGGCACCTGGAAGGTTTATTCTGAGGAAAACCTTGAGGGCTTCTTAAAAGTCATGGGTGAGTATATTTTCATATTTAAAGAATGTATTTTCTTATGAATGCATACATCATATATTCTTTTTCCTTTCAAGGTGCACCTGAAATGATTATCAAAATGCGAAAGGATGTCAAACCGGTGTTGGTGATTGAGCGGAAGGGCTCAGACTTCACCTACACCATGAAGACTCCCCTTGGCACCAGAGCTCACTCATTCCGCCTCGGCAAGGAGTCCGAGATGACCGTGGCGGATGGCAGGAAGTTTAAGGTAATTCAAACATTTAACTCTTCATGCATCATGTGAGCTGATGATGTCAGAATGAAACCCTGAAAATCAGCATTTAGACTTTGTAGGCTTGTGTCAGCATATTATAGTGAGGCTATAGTTTTTGTGCAATTTTAGATACAAATCCAGTTTTTTAAGCAGCTAGCAGTTAATGTAATCTGATTCATAAAAAGATAAACCAACATCAGATACAATGCTATTTAAATAATGGACATCTAAGGAAGATTGATGGGGTTTTGATGGGAAGTAAAAGAAAAGCTTTAACTTACATTATACTGTTTTGGCATGTATTTGTTATTGATTGCTAAATCGCTGAGAATTAGATCATCATTTGTTTATTGCCACGTAGGTTTTCACACACAAGGCATTTTCTTAGTGTATAATTGTGCATACATAAACACAGTGAGAGAATACAAATGTGTAATGGAAAAGAGAATAGAATATTTAGAAATATTTGAAAGACTATTGTGAAACCTATTGAAGGATTAAACGTGTAAACAAGAAATATAATGTACAAAAAGGAAACACATACAAGTATATGACAAATGACTAACACACAATATGTACAGTAGCCTATATCTGAAATAAAAGTGGATGCAGTGTGTTGTTCTAAAAAGTGATATTATTGTTTAGTGATGTGCAATATCATGATAGATAAACATTGTTATGAATGACCAGTGCACTGTCAGAGAGGAGAACGGGAAGCTGATCGCTAAAACTGAAAAGTTCACTGCTGTCCGAGAGCTCCAAGGAGACGACATGGTGGAGGTCAGTGGCCTTCATTATTTTACAAACCCAGGGATTCAGTGTTAGAAATAAACTTAGATTTAATGACACATGATCTTCAAAGAAAATTAAACAAATAAAGGAAGGTTTTTGCAACAGTTAAAGATGGATTTAACGGTTGCATTTTCTGTTGTTCTCTGTTTAATGCCACCGTTTTGTTACAACAAATCCTAACCATGTATCCACTCAGCTATTCTTCCAGTTCACACTCTATAATTTTGTCAGTTTTTTTTTTTTAACATGAAACTGTTTCGTTTCTGTCTCTGCTTTCTCTCTGTTCCAGACTATCACTGCTGGCGATGTAACTTTCATCTGCAGAAGCAAACGAGCCTGATCCAGGCCTGAAGCTGAAGCTACTTTAAGCAGGGAACCATGTGGATAGCACATTGAAAATAAATAACTTTCATTCATAAATAATACCTTTATGAATACATTTGAATGATGAAATAAACCAAAGTGTGTGTTTTTATTCAGTGGTGGAAAGAAACTAAGTACATCAATCAAGTGCTAAATTAGAAATGTAAGCTGCTAAACCATACCATGTTATGCTACTTTAGGCCTCTACTTCACGGCATCTCAGAGACAAATATCATACCGTTTACTCCTCTACCTTTGTCTGAGGTTTCAGTAACTTTTATTTACAATATTTTGTCTTCAGAAAATGTGTCTGTCCAGTACAACACAAAGACTTTCAATCTCTTCTGTTAACTTAGTAATACTTAAGTTATGTTTTAAATACATCGCATTTACTAGACGTAGAAGAGTTTTACTGTGTGGTTGCATTTACTTTCTCGACACCTTTTTAAACAAAAATAAAGAATTTATTGTTTCTGCACAGCTGCAGGTGAACAGCAGAGGGCGCTGTAGGTTTTTATTCCCCCCGTTTGTTTGAGAAGAAGAACCAAAAGGCGCCCTCCAACTGCGCATGCGCCCAACATATTTTCGCTGCACCAGATTTTTCTTTTCTTCAAAAAAACATTTCTTCTGCATAGTGAGTGTAACTTTATGGCCAAATACATGAGGCCCCCATGCTCGTCTTTGTTCGTCAGAAACATCTCCGATGAGTCCAGGTGAGTCAACACTCGGAGAAAGTCAGCTATCAAGCGCTAACTTACTCATATTAACGGCAGCTAACTGACTTAGCTTAGCTGCTAACGTTAGCCTCCTCGCAGAAGCTTCAAGTTACGTTTAACCAACATGCAGAGGCGCTTTATGTGTGAAATATTTATTAGCTGCTGCTCATAGTTAGGCCAATCTGTAATAAGGTGTCTATGTTAATATTTCATATGTCGGTACTGTATCTTTGTTTACATTCCGTTTCTGTTGCACGGTTCATGTGTATACATTAGCTAACGTAAATAAAGCTACGTTAGCTTACTTATAAACAATACTCTTCAGTAATATTACATGTGTTGGTGATTTGCAGGCAAAACAATTTAAACGTATTATTTAATATGGTTATAAGTTGTTATCAAGCCCAACTAACCGCTATGTCACAAACCGTTATTTCAGTTAACCGTTATTCTTTTGAAGTCTGTTATGGTAAGTAACGTCTTTAGGGTTATACATTCATTCTATTTCAATGACAGGTTGCTATGTAGCATGAGCCAACGCACACACAAAAGCAATTAAGCTTATTTGCTTTTTCCGTCCTCAAATATAAAATACATATACATTTTTTTATATAAAAACAGCAAGAAAAATTGAAAGGATAGGACAACAAAATTATGCATTTTCGTTTGTATATATATGTGTGACCTTTTCTGAAAAGTTTCTTCTGCAGTCTGCAAATCACCAAAACACTGTCAACGATTACCCTAACCTCTCTGCTGAACATCAACTAATGACTTAAAATATCTCACTGTGTGCTGATCTCACACGTAAATCAAAGGTAAATCCAAGTACTCCTCCAAAAAATCTAGTGTGAATGGAGCAACCGTCTCGACATGTCACTTTTTTAGACTTTTAGTGAGTTCTAACCTTGAATTTTATGCTAAAGACAATAGTGTACACATCTTAAAGGTTCAGTTCATGCCAAAACGCAACATAATTGTAAAACAAAAAGCAACCACTAGAATAAATAAAGTTCCTAAGCTGCAGCCGAACTGAGAGCAATAACACAGAAACCTTGTGAACAGCTGGATCTGTCACCAGTTAAGAGGTCAGACAGATCTTTAGTGTTTTGGGGTGAACTGTCCCTATTGAGCCCTCTGAACAGCTGTTCTCCCAGCTGCCGCTGAGTGATGATATAGTTAGAGCTTCCTCTGATGGTCAGTTGAGTCATAATTTTATTTACGGTGTTCAGGCCTGAGGATTTGCGGCGTGAGTTTGGCCGCTATGGGCCTGTAGTAGATGTCTACATCCCACTTGACTTCCATACACGCCGACCAAGAGGATTTGCATACATTCAATATCCTTTCCCAATGAGTGTTTACTATGTTGGTGCTCCTGCTAACAAAACATTTTAATTTCCTTTTCAGCTGAGAAGATGTGCTTTTTTTTGTGACATTATTTCATGTATTTATTTTTGATTGAATATCTAACGCACTTATTTTTCTGTTATTGCTTCAGAAAATGTTAAAGCATCCAGTTGTGGAACCGGCCACAAAGAGTAACAAAGACCCGTGTAGAATAGCTGTAAAGACAAGTCTCACAGACCTTCAGGATCAGAGGGAGGGAAAAGGTTGAAAAGAGAAAGTAAAGCATGAAGAGGAAAAGGGAACGGAGACAAGGCTTGGATATGGCGGCAAAGAATTGGCAAAAGAAAAAGAGGTTAAAGAGGAAAAGGCAAGCAGCAGTCCAGAGTCTCTGTGGGAGTCCATTAAAGAGTGTAAAGATCAAAATGAAGTTCAAAGTCAAGCATGGGCAAAGGTAACAAGTCTGAATTATTTGTATCCTCACAAGACAAATTCACAAATCTGACAACAAAATCATCTTTCCTTGTGATATAAATGACATTTGTATTTTCATTATGATCAAGAAATGTAATCAATTATTTCATGTATTTGATTTTTTTTGTATTTGTAGACCTGATCGCTCACAATGATTACATGTGTTTGAAAATGCTTCATCTTTTATCTCTACAAAAATTAACTGTGAGTGTATTTTGTTTGTTGTTTTTTCTCTTGCTAAACTATAATAAGAAATAATAGTTTGTGCTTTTTTCTTAAATGTTTTTGTGTTATAAGTCAGGCCATGCAAATTTGAAGAATGCCATTTTTGTTATAAAGAGAAAACAAATTGTGATATAAAAGTTTATTTTCTTAAGTTTCTACTTCATTGTGAAAGGAAGAAAACACTTTGAATTTGTGTGGCCTGACTAAAACTGCGATCAAAAGAAAACCCTTAACCACTCAGCATATTTGAGGATGTGCGTGATGCAGAGGACGCTCTTCACAGTCTGGACAGGAAGTGGGTTTGT